AGGAAGTGAACCCCTTCGAAGTAGTTCTTGTATTGGGCAGTAACCCAACAGTGCCAACATATGGAAGACGACATCTCTAGAAACCATACGTTCTCCAATAAAATGTCAGTCAATTCATATGCTTGGTTTGGTCATGTTGTACTGGATTGTGAGTAATATTTATAGTAGTTTGATCATCACAGTACAACATCATAGGTCTATCATACACAATGTCACAATCCCAAGCTCCTTTAGTAAAAACCAAACCCATAACATCTCTGAGACACCATGTGCCAAAGTCCAATACTTTGCTTCTGAATTAGACTGAACCACAACAGATTGTTTCTTACTCCTCCAAGATATGGGATTCCTTGCAACCCGAGGGCAACAACCTGAAGCTTACCTCCTGTCATCCTTGCAATGAGCCCAGTCTGCATGAATAAACCCTTCAATCTTCATGTGTCCATGATTAGGAAAGAGAATAATACAACCAACCTGATCCTTAAGGTAGGCAAAAATCCTTTCTATAGTAGCTAAATGTATATCCCTAGAAGAACTCATATATTAACTGATAAGACTAACAGAATTCATTTATAACGATTGGAGGTATTATTGCACTATACATTGTATGCATTGTACCATGGCTGTATAGCCTTATTCTTGCATTTGTATGAGAGGGATATAATTGTCCTTTCTCATTCTTTTAATTCATTAATAAACTATATTTTGGTTCATGGTTAAGGTTTAGATACACCCATTTCAAAGTTCAAACCTGTTTTTCTCTTATAAATTGGTCCTGAGACGGTGAGACCTAATGGGAACTGATTTGTAATTATAGAACAATATAACAGATATATATTGGAGGCTTTGGGGTGGGGGCCAACTGAGTCATTACAACCCTTTAGAACCAACTTTGTTTTCTCTGTCTCCTCTCTATTGTTATCTTGTACATAGAAAACATGTTCCAACACAAATCTTGTGAGAAGCACAACTAGGGGATTGAGACAAGGAGATCCAATATCTCCCATGCTATTTGTTTTGGTTATGGAGATGCTGAACCTATGATTGGAGAGGAGTGTCTAGATGGGATTGATTGAGGGTTTTAAGGTGGGGAGGTGATGGCCCATGCGTCTCTCATCTGCAACATGTAGATGATACTTTGACTTTTTTGGATGCCTCAGTTAATCAGGTTCTAAACTTGAGAGCAGTCTTGGAAAATTTTGAGCTGTTAACAGGTTTGAAGGTTAATCTTTCAAAGAGTGTTTTGATTGGAGTTGGTGGAGTTGAGAGGGAAATCCTATTGGAATGTGATGATGCTTTTGAATGCAGAGTTGGGGAGTTTCCTTTCACCTACTTGGGGATGCCAATTGGGGGAGTTTTTTTTTTTTATCATTAAACATGTATTTTATTAAATTTCAGATTGTAAACGGTTTATACAACTTGGTGATGGGACTGTTGATCCCTTTAACCACTCTATTCTATCCCTCATTATAGTGCAGCCCAAAATAGTTGCTGTCTCAATGCCCCCTGTTTTGATAAAGCATCAACTAACCCATTCAAATTCAGCCTCAACCTCCTTTGCAATCTTTTACACTTCCCTAATCACATGTTTAAATGTCCATGGGGTATGGCTGCTGTTTGCTACCCAGGAAATTACTACTTTTGAGTCCCCTTCCACTTCAACATTTCTGTATCCTAACTGTTTGGCTAACTTTAACCCTTGTAGTATTGTAGTAATGCCAAAAGTTCAGCTTTCAGTGAGTTTCTGGTGCCAATCAGTCCTGAGAACATACCCAGTATCCTCCTTTCAGAATTTCTGAATACTCCTACTACTCTTGAAATGCCTGGATTTCCAAAGAGCTCCCATCAAAATTCAGTTTCACTTTATTGCCTTTTGGTGGTTTCCACTCCAGCCTTACTTTATCTCTTACTATTGATGAATGCTACTTCAGACTAGGTTCTTAGAATGCCTGTAACTGCGAAGACTTGAAAGCTACCCAAGGGTTTTACCCAATGAGCTACTTTCACCTTGATGCTATCAATCACTTCCTCTATTGTTCTGCTTTTCTCCAAGAATATCCTATTATTCCTCTCTTCTCATATTACCCAACAAATTGCTGCCTTTGTTGCTTTCCACATTACCATCCCTCTTTTCTTTCGTTGTCTCAAGAAGTCACGGTTGAAGAGTCTTGCCACATCTTGAGGGGGAACCCACCTGCAGCCAAAGAGAGTACAAAAGAATTCCTAAATTCGAAGCACAAAAGAACAAGATATCAATAAATGAGATAGGGTCTCACCACTTTCCTTACACAAAAGAGCACATATGAGGAGAAAGGCAAATATATGGCCTTCTTCTCTGCAGCATATCGCAAGTGTTTACCTTACCAAGGAATATTTCCCAGTAGAAGGCTTGAATCTTCGGGGGAATAGGCTTTAATCAAATTTCTTTCATAGGGAAATCCCCACCTAGGGGGTTGGGGGAAGCAAGTACTTTGAAGAAAGAAGAGCAAGAAAAGAAGAAAATGGACCGTTTGGAGAACCTACCCAGATTCTAGAATCTTCTTGCGAAGGGTCCAAGTGGATTTGCCCTAGAAGGTTCAGCAATAGGATTAAAGACACACTCATTTTCCATTAGTCCCCTTCTGAAGCCCAAGTTCTAGTTCACACCATTTGGACATGGTGTTCCCAACATGGATATAGCTTCCCCCTTGAGGTTAGATAGCGCAAAGAGATCAAGAAATTGGTCTTTAAGTGGGGTTTCTCCTACCCATAGATCTTCCCAAAACAGAATTTTATTACCTTGTCCCACATCAAACCGGATGGAATTGAGGAAAGTAAGGTAGATTTCATGAACTTCTTTCCAAGGAAAAGCCAAAGAACTATGAGGGGAAATTTTTGTATACCAGACATTTCCATCCACCCCATGAATGCTCTCAATCACTTTGTGCCATAGTCTAAACCTCCAAAGCCATTTACCTAGTAGAGTTGTGTTCCTTAATAGGATGTTCCCAATTCCTAAACCCCCTTGTTTCTTAGGCTTGCTAACCTGCTCCCACTTGATCAAATGGTCCTTCCTTTCCTCTCTTGGATCCCAAAGGAAATCTCTCATATACTTCTCTAAGCACCTTGTTACCCTAGAAGGGATTCTAAAGGTTGAAAGGAAATAAGTGGGGAGGTTTGTCAATGTGGCTCTAATCAAGGTTATTTTTCCACCCAAAGAAATATAATTCCTCTTCCACAGTATTAACTTCCTATTAGACCTTTCTAAAACTGGTTTCCAAAACCCAATTGACCTAGGGTTTCCTCCTAAAGGTAGACCTAGGTAATTGATAGGCTAGCTTCTAATCTTGCACCCCAAGATCTCAGCAAATCTTAAAAGTTCTCCTTCCTCCAAATTGACCCCTAAAATTCCACTTCTGATCCAATTTATCCTCAGCCTTGTCACTCCCACAAAATTATTCAGCAGCACCCTCGGATTTTCCACCACTTCCTCATTGTTTCCTTGATAGAAAAAGATGGTGTCGTTTGCAAATTGGAGATGGGTAACAATCACCTGATTTCTATCTACCCTCCAACATCTAATAAGTCCTTCATCACCAGGTGGAGGAGGGTGGGTGTGGAGATTTGGGTTAGGGAGGGAGGAAAATTCATTATGGAGGAGGGTGGTGGTGGGGAAGTACGGGGTGGTTAGGTTTGGGTGGGAAGCTAGAGAGGTTAGATCTTCATATGGGGTGAGTGTGTGGAAAGGGATTATGAGATTCAATCAGGAGTTTAGAAGCTTATCAAGTTTTTCAGTAGGGTATGGTTCAAGAATTAGGTTTTGGGAAGATGATTGGTGTGGGATAGGCAAATTGAAAGAACTATGTCCAAGGTTATATAGGCCGGCTTACGCTGAAGTTCCTATCAGCCAATGTTATGAAAGAAGGGGTGAGAAGCTGATTTGGAGCCCGAAGTTTAGGAGACCTTTCTTGGATAGAGAGGTGGAAGAATGCATTTCTTTGTTGGGAAAACTAGGAGTGAAAATGCCACCTTAGTCTAGGGATGAACTATGGTGGAAGGAATGCTCAAATGGAAGATTTTCTGTTAAATCATGTTACATGGCTCTTAGCAGGGACATCTCACCCTCTAATCAAGTGGAGGGTGTGTGGGGAAACCCAGTACCTCCTAGGGTTGAAGATTATTCTTGGCTGGTGGCCATGGACTGTATTTTGACTGTGGAACACTTGAAATCAAGGGGATTCAGTATGGCTAATAGGTGCTGCTTATGTAAAGAGCAAGAGGAAAATGTCGGTCATCTGTTTTTCTCCTGCAAGATTGCTGGTTTCATGTAGAGATTGTTCACTGCTATGTTCGGGGCTTCAGAGTTTCATCCAAGTTTGGCTGTAGATATCTTTTCTTTATGTTCAAAGTTAAGAGGAAGCAAGAAAGCAAAGGTGTACTGGAGCTGCATTCTATTCACAATATGCTGGAATATTTGGAAGGAGAGGAATAGAAGCATTTTTGAAGACAAAGCCTGTAGCTTAGACAAGATTGTGGCTGCTGTTAGAAAATCAGTGGCTGATTGGGTCATGGTTCTTCCAGACTTCAGGCAAGTTAACAGGGATGAATATTTGGGGGATAAGCTAGGGAAGTTTTGGGATTTCAGCTGTGTATCTTGGAAAATTTATTCTGATTTTCAGTAGTATTCTCTTTGTTGCTGTGGGTGGGTGATGCCTTGTCGCCTGCTAGTTTGTACTCTTTTCTTTTTTATTTTAATGAAATTTTATTTTACCATAAAAACACGTGGTAATACTTTTATTATTAATTGTTATTGTTATTATTGTTATAATACTAATACTACTAATAATAATAGTATTATATTACTCGTTTTAATAGTAGTAGTAATTGTTGTTGTTTTGGTTGCTGACACTGCTGCTTTTGTTGCCATTTTAAATTCCCTCTCTATTTTGGTTTCATGTAAATAATTTGTACAACCATTTACATTTCTAACAGAGAGATTAACTTGCACTAGAATGCTGCAGGTCTGTTTCTAGTGCTAGCGAAGCAGCAAAGGCAGGAATTCTGTTGAATGATTATCAAAATAGTTCTCAAGTGTGCACAGTATCTTATTGTCCAATAAGTTGGTTCCATTTGTATGGGTTTTGTGAGTATTTAAATGTTTTATACAATTTTACATGTTAGTTGAAATACATTTTCAGAACAAACACTTCTGCAGATATGTTTCTATTTCCAGTTTATTGCATTGATAAGATGCTTCTTGCACACTTACATACTTTGGAATTGTTTTGATTTTCTTGGTTGTAGATTGACTTTTCATTTAGTGATGCTGATATCATAGAAGAGGGAACACTTATTTCTCTCATTGGTCGGCGGAAATTACAAGGTGGGGAGTCCATAATCCAAGAGAAGGTGAGTTTTGATCTGTTTTCACTTTCTATGAGCCTTATACTTTTAGTAGCTTGGCTGTTTCTTCTGGAGCTTGAGGAGATTGACCAAGGGATCCACTGCTGTTTCTAATCATTTGTTCATATTTGAAATACTCGGTAAACTCACATCAAAGACAACGGAAGGGAATGGGGTTCTCCATAGTTTCTCATCATCATCATTATCATCTAAGCCTTGTCACAACTATACCTTTTTTTTTTTTTTTTTTTTCTGGGAATGAGATCTGCAAATTCCTTAGGATACTGGCCAGATTAGTTGGATAAGACACATCTATTTGGGGATGAGGCCTTAGGGATAACTTGTAATGTGTATTCTGTCTCTTCAGTAGTGTGAGTGATTAGACAATTGTGTTTTCCCCTTAACTAATTGGAAAGAGGAATCTACTTTTCTTTCAGACTTAACAACAAACATCTTGGGTGTTGTTACTGGTTACTCCCCTGCCCATAAAATAAGGAAAGGTGGCTGTAAGAAAACTTTCCTGCAGAAAGGTCTCGATTCCCATAATATCAATTTGGAAGCAAAAGAGAGGGCATTATGGAAAAGTAGAACAATAGGAAAAAAAGAGAAAATATTGATGAAAAATGAAAAATTAAATAAATTAAAAATAAAGGTTTCATTAGTTTTGAAGAGATGAAAAATGGAAAAAAAGAGAATCATCGTCATCATCATCATCATCATCCATGCCTTATCCCAACTATATGGGGTCGACTACATGAATCCTATTTTACCATTCCATTCTATTTAAAACCATATTCACTGCAAATGACCAATATCTCGCCCCACAACTTAGGCTTGGTAAACTTCAAGTCTTTGTTGAGCTATGAATCTCTTTTCATCAAGAGCCTCAAGTTCAGCAAGCCTTATCTTTAAATACCAAACTATATGGTGTGCATCTACTAGCTGTCCGCATTATTGTTCAATATGCCCAAAGTGCTTCAGGGAGGCATTCATGCCAATCTCTTTTATTCTTGGATACCATTTTCTTAAGTATTTTGCAGAGAACTTTGTTGAAAGCTTCTACTTGTCCATTTGATGAGGTGTTATAGTCTACAGATTTAGCATGGAGTGTTGATGGGGTTACTCCATATGCATGTAACCAAGGGCGTCCTAGGAGGACATTATAGGAGGTGTTTGCATCAATCTATACTATATATATATATAAGTGCAGATGCAGAGTGAGTTTCTTTGGACTAAAATTACCCTCTATTTCTTTGTTTGAGAAAGGGTAGAAAAGTCATTTTATTACAACCTTAATGCTAGCTTTTAATGGTTGCTAAAATGCCTATATTTGTGTATTTAGTCCATCTCTAAATGTAAGGGTTGAAAATGTAACTTCAATTATTATTTTCCACCTTATTTAATTCCCTCTCATTAACTCTTATACTTAAGGTATTAACTCCCATTTTCTCTTATTAAATCCTATATTTAAGTTATTTTTCACTAATAAATGCTACTAATAGATATATGTCAATATTTTTAACAATATAAACCCATATATTTTAAAACTAACTCAAAAACAAATCCATTATTTGTCCAAGTGGTGGCTAAGTAATTCAACCATCCGAATAAAATTGGTCAACCTATGAAGTCATAGTTAGGTAATAAAATTTTTAAAATAGAAATAAATATAGAAAATTATAAAATGGAAAAAATAGTCGCATTTATCATATTTTTATTAATCGAATTAAGAAATAAGTTTAATAAACAAGAATTATTTTTATTGATAATGAAAATGAAGTACATAATTTAGAATTAACCAAATGTAATAAATAATAAAATATAAAAATACAAAAATGAAATAATACATGAATTTTGCAAAAAACCTTTCACGTACAGGTATGATATCATATATTTATCATATTAAATAAAAAGTAAGTGCGACATATCTTAATTATTTGTATACACAAAAATACAAAAAAAATTATAGAAAAAATTGAACACATCTATAATTCTATATTTACACTATATTAAAAATATGAATAATTTGTGGAACTTTCTTTTGACTAAAATACTCATTTTTGAATTTAGTCCCTATTTAATTGTGAGGTTTAAATAGTGAATTGAACTACTACTTTTCACCTTATTCAAATCCCTCTATTTAAATCTAACATTTTTTTTTAAATGAACAAAAAAAGATACACCAAAAAGATAAAACATTACAAAATGAAGAGTGTAGCCAAATAGGTAGGCCTGTCAATGATACTTGAATTTTATAACTTAAATCCGGTTATCACATATTTGGATGAGGTGTTTATGTAATCAGATTTGGATTTTGCAATCAACATCTGATTAATAATATAAAACAAAAAATATAAAAACAAAAAATAAAAAAATACATAAAAGTTTATAGAATATTTTGGATACATCATTACTATCATTATCATTATCTCAAATTGCCATGTGCAAAGCATGTGCATACTTACTAGTAACATGAAATAGGACATCCGAATATAATTTCCTAGTTTTGTCTTTTAAGGCAATAGTGCCAATCGCCTTTTGCCCTTCCTGATTAAATCCTTGAATGGTTTAGATATGAGGGGGATAGGTGGGGAGGTGTCATACCTATAACCAATAGTGTCTTTAAGGGCAGAAGATTCACTACAGATCCACAATCAAGGAGTATTCGATTAATGGGCTTATTACCCACTATGTCGGACGCATATAGGGGACGGTTATAATACTTCGTTCCAAGCTGCAAATCTTCATCATCAAAGGAAATGCATGCCTTGCATGAGGCACACATTTTAGGGAAACTTGATTGTGCGTCCACATGGTTTTCACTTCATCTTTAAACTGTTCAGGATCTAATAATGCCTGAACTAAATCCCTTCTCAAATATGGAGAGAGCTGCAAAGCATCATAAACACTTAGCTGTGCTGAAATACGCTTGAGACATAATTTAGCTTCTCGTATAGGACAAACTTGAATTGGTATTTCTAATTGTGAGTTATTTGTCCTATTTTTGTAACAAGCTCCTTATCCTCCTTTTCTTCAATCTCTACTTGTGTAATAGAGTTACCAACATTTTTAGTTACCTTCTTGCTTGAAGAAGGTTCTTGTGTAGAAGGAAGACGGTGTCAGCTATATTGTAAGGTGATTTGGTTCACATAATTTTGAGTTGTAGGTACATCTTCTTTCCTCACAAAATGCCATATGATATGGCATTGTTGAGACCATCTCATCTAGGCCTTCATCAAGTATTTCTTTTGGAATATATTCCTTCAGAGTGACAAGAACCTTGGGGGTTGTTCTTATTCATCCTAAAAAATTATCTGAGGCTTCTTTTTGGACATTCTTATTCTTCTTGGGGACCCTACGTCTCCTGAAAGTGATAACTGGAGAAGCAATTATTTCTATTCTTTAGGGTTTAACCACCAATTTTAGCTCTCTGTTGACAACTATCTGCTAACTTTCTTCATTATCTGATGTAGAGGAGTCATCACAACATAACATACTTGGCTCTACCATCAATTCACATAAAGAAGGGATAGTTGGAGCATTTTCTTCTGCAAGCAATATACTGTTAGTAGCTGCAATAATCTCTTTTGTAGGAGGTTCCACTAATTTAATTTCCCCCGTTTCTATCATTGATTGGATAATGTACCCAAGGACAAAACAATCCTTTATGGGATAACTGACCATCTTGTGATAAGGACAATACTTTGGGTCCTTTATCTTGTTGACATCATTTGTTCGCTTTGGATCTAGCAATTTAATAGGGACATCCTTTCTGTTGAAGATTAATTAGTTTTATGATGTTTTTCTGAGTAGATGTTTTATGTTAGTTGTTAGATAGGAGGTGGGGACCACAGTAGTTATGTGAGTCCAAATTTTATTATGTTTTTTGAGTGTTATATATGCTGTTTTATGTTTTGCCGCCCTATAAGGGCATAATTGTCTTTGTACTGTTCTATTATTTTAGTATAAATAATAAGTGAAGGGGGCGACCAGATCATTGCTCTCTTTTCTTTCAACTTTTCTTCTTCTCTTCTTCTCCTTCTCTCTTCCTTCTCTCTTCAAGAAACTACTTTCTTTCATATTTTTTAATTCAGCAGATTTCTACTCTTTCCTTTAGCCTTATCCTTCTTTTTAACATTAACAAAGGTGGTCATTGCCTCTTTTTTGTCTATGGGCTTTTTGCCATCCTTTTTGTTTCTGAAGGAGGATTGGACTTGCATGCCACAGTCTTTTGCCTAGCAATTTGTCTCTCCACATTGCTAGCTTTAGAAACCAATGCATCAAATGATTGTGGTTTTGTTGTGCCTACAAAGAAGCAATCTCTGGCAAGATATTGTTAGCACACATTTGTATCGCTGAAGTTTCCTTTAATTTCTCAACACATTGAAGATTCATGTCTCTCTAGCATGTAATAAATTCATTTGCACTTACGTTTGGCCTTTGTTTTGTTTTTAGCTAAGTTTGTAATTGAAAATTTCCTCTTGGAACTCACGAACTGTGCTAAGAAAGCACGTTGCATATCATCCCATGTGACAATTGATCCTGGTGCTAATTGTATATACTAATTAAAGCTGTTCCTTTTAAAGAATGCACAAATTGCCTCATTAATAAGGCATCAAACATTGCCGATTCACCATATGAAGAATAGAAATGGGCCAAATGTTCATGGGGAGACCCATTTATTCCCTCAAATTACTCAAAGTTGGGCTTTTGATATCTTGGAGGAAATGGGAGTGTATCATAGTAGGTGGGATATGGTTTCCTATACCCAAGAACTGGTGGCATTAGAGATGCTTGGAACTCTTTTATTCCATCTACGATAAGTGCCTTTAGATCTACTTGAGGAGTAGGAGCAGAAGTTGATGTTGCTTGTTGAGACGACTTTGTTGTAGATGTACTTGATTGTGCCACCAACTGAGTATCAAAAGATGCAATTTCCACATCCTTTTCTGCCATCTTTCGTTTCATGTCTTGAATTCGTTCTTCTAAACTTGAGTTTCCAGTCACCATGACTAGTATGGAAGTTGACTCTTGATTTTCTTTTGAAAGCATGACAAATTTTTGTAAACGGAATGTTATTTCATCCACAAATTCATTTTCTTGAATTGAAGATTCAGGATCTTCATGGATTAGTTAAAATTTTGAAGTGAAAAATTCACTAGTCAAACTTGATCATGAACAAACCTCGGAACTTTGCAATAATCGAGCCCTTGCTCGAGTGATAGGGCTTTTATAAGGCTTGAACCCTTCATTGGGCATAGTGTATGCCCCTGGTTCAAAGTAGAAACTGGCTTGTTTGGAAAACATGTATCTGGAAATAAAAGCCCATTTTTTAGCTTCCATGTCCAATTTTTCTTTTTTTTTTGATCTTTCTACATCAAAATCAGCAAGGGAAATGGGAGTACTACTTTGTTCTAGCCTTTGGAGGTCTCTTGGACCTAGGCTTATGAATGGAAATAGGAGATTGTTTTGAAGATCCTTCAATTATAGTAGGAGGCTTCTAATTGAAAATAACTTTCTTACCACAAGAGGAAGAGACTTTTCCACTTTCTTACCACAAGAGGGTGAGCCAACAAAATGGCATTAGCCCCTACCTTCTTTCTCCTTTTCTTCCTTTTCTTTACACCACAATCTTCTTTTGTTTCTCCTTTTGTTTGTCTCTTGTTGCTAGAAATTCAATCAATTGAATAGCATTAGCCAACAAAATGGCATTAGCCTCTTCTCCTTATAGGAGAAGGGTTTATAAAGAGGAGGGAGGTGATTAAGTGACTCCCCACCTCTATCTTCTTAGGGTGCCAAGTGTCACCCCACTTAAAATGGGTAAAGGAGGGAAAAGAAAACTCTTCCTTTCTAGGGTGACATGTGTTCGCCACCTTAAAGTGGTTAAAAGAGGGAAAAGTGAGTTTTATGTTCAGTTATTCTTTCTGAAAGTTTCATTGTATGGTTCATGAGTTTGATCCCACAATAGTATAGCTCATGGTTAATATCTTTATCTATATGTTAAAAATAGGATAAAAATAATGCAAGAAGAGAAAAAGTGATCTCATTTAAAATACTTTTTAAACCTTGGATTTCTTTTTATAAAGGACTTACTATGTTTACTTTTCATTTTCAGTCTATCATCAAGGATGCTGGTGAGCTTGTTTTCATTGTTACTGAAAAGCAATACAAAGGAGTTCTTGATGGTTCTATTCCAGTCATAGTTCATGCTGTGAGCCTTTTCCACCTTATCTGTCAATAAAGATAATGTCTTCTATTGAACACTTGGATTTCTATTTTTGTATTAGTTTATTAGACTTCTATTTTTATCTTTAATTTCTATACTTTAATATTTAACTTTTCCAGTATAACTGGATGGAGACTGCAGAAGAAATTGATGACCTGTTTCTTGGAGATGCAGAGGTATGCTTCTTTCGTAAAGACCTATCACCATGTTATTTAAATAACTGTTTCTTTTACTCACTAAATTTAAGGTAGTATTCATATATAGTATATTTTTATTCTTTGAAATATTGGATCGTTCATTTATACACTTTACATTTTCTTGTTCAACTTTCTTCTATAGATCATAATTTTTATGGTCGAAAGAAATGTGACCTATTAGGCAAGATACTTGTGTTCCCAAATACCAAAATGGCTTAGAAATACACTCTCATGCACTAGGTATTGGTTCAATGATGTAATTTGTATTATATGCTGTAGAGGGGCATTCTTGTCCTTTTACTTTCTTTTATTATGTTTAGTTGCCCTACTATTTAATATAATAGAGCTGGTGCTGCCACCCTGAATTTGGACTCTCATATCCTTTGTCTCTCTTCTTCTCCTTCTTCATCTTCTTCTCTTCTTCTCCTAACTGGAAAACATGGGTGGGATGATACAAACACCTCCCAGCCCTGAGAACACTTCGGCCCCTCTATACTCAGAACTCGACTGAAATCCAAAAGAAGGCAATACCAGAAATCTGTGGATGGTTGATTGAAGTTTCTTCTAGAGGTCTGTGACTTTTATTCTCTCTCCTTTTATTACTTCTGGGTTGCAATCTTCAAAAGAGTTGCTCAGACTGAACAGGGGCAAGAACATTTTTTTTTGTAGCCTCGGTTCTTCGCAGTAAGTCCAAGGACAAGCTAAGTTCTGCATTGACCGAATGGTGTAAGGGGTGTTTGACCCTTCTTTGTGGATCTGTAGATCCAAAACTGTAAGGTTTGAAACCTTGTAGGTCATGAGTGACCTAGTTAAATTGACAGGGTACTGCAGTAGCTTCTAAATGGTCACGGAAGGAATTCATAATATCCTCCCTTGGGTCAGATCCAAAGAGATGTGTCTGAGTCATAGTATGGATGGAGGGCTGATTCTCCCGAGTAGCCATGTTGGCCATAGTGTATTTCTTTGTACCTTGCTGTCCTGACCTTTTATTCACATCTGAACCTTGCTTCTTATTCAGATCTTGAGCCCATTTTGGTTTCCCATGAAGATCCCAGCATGTATCTCTAGTGTGTCGGGGTTTCTAGCAATGAGTACACCAGAATTTGTCTTTATCTGTTTTTTTCTGGAGATCTCTTTTCGTGGAAGAATTTCCCACACTAGTAGAGACACCCCCTTTTGCTGCCAATACAATTGCATCTGCACCAGGGCTGTTCATCAAATTCCTTCTGCTCTCTTCAGATTGTACAAGAGCATAAACTTCCTGAACTGATGGAAGATCCTTAGAACTGAGAATCTGGACTCTGATAGATTCATACATAGGGTTCAAACCATGTAAGAAGGAAAACACTCTCTGCTGGGAGACAAGTTT